GAATGAGTGAAGATCAGGAGACCGAGTGACTCTTCAGCAGGTTCTTGAAGCAGTGAATCACTGTAGTTTTATACAGATTCCAGGAGGCTGTTCTCGTGAACGAGCGTCCAAAAGTGAGTAGAGACGAAAATGTGGAATAAAGTCGTTATTTTTGTTTTCTTTGCGCAATAAAGTATTCTCATAGCTTTGTAAAATTACAGTTGAACCACTGATGCCACACGGATTACTTTGTCGATTATCTTGATACTTTTCTGGGTCTTGATCGTGGTAGTTACCTTGCTGTCTATGCAGGGTCAGAGAGCCCTCAGATTTCATTAAAATATCTTAATTTGTGTTCCGAAGATGAACGAAGGTCTTACGGGTTTCGAACAACACGAGGGTTAGTAATTAACGACAGAATTTTCATTTTTGGGTGAAGTAACCCTTTAACGTCCATTTATTTTTATTCTCCCCTATACATGTTTATCAAATTAAAATTCAAATTAGCTTTATTGGCATGACTTGCACAGTATTGCCAAAGCATTGTCCATTACATTAATAAGGAATAAACAATTATATAATACATAAACAAAACAAGAATAGATATGTAAAACAATTAAGTATATAAGTACATGTATACTTTCTTTCCTTTTTTTTCTACAAACAAGAAACAAGAAAAATATTTAAGACATTGTGCAGCAAGAAATTATCTTGCTTCAGTTTTGTCCGACAGGCTGATACATATCTTGCTGCTGTTGTGATCATTTTGGAATTTTTCCCTAAAATGTGACTTAATTTTTCTGCATTTGGTAATGGCATAAAATGTGGTTTAATTTGTTGGAATTTGGGGAAATATGCTGCTCTAATGTTGTGATAGTAATCACAGTGCAATAAGAAATGTTCCTCTGTTTCTACCTCTTTCTGCGAGCACAGTGAACATATTCTCTGTTCTCGTGGCTGCCATCTTTGTCTGTGCTGTCCTCTCTCTATAGCTAGACAGTGATCACTCAGTCTGTATTTTGTAAGTATCTTTCTTAATTTGTGATCTTTTACACAGCTCAGGTATTCTGCTGGTTTGTAGTTTGTGCTGTGCTGGTTTGGGTGTAGTTTGAGTACCAGCTCAAATAAACCAACATGTTTATCTATCTCCTTTACTGAACTGGAACGCCCTCTAGTGTCTAGGTGGGTCCCACTACATCCCCTCTTTTTAGTCTCAATAACCATCTCAACAACATATAACACTGAACTTTCTTTCCTAAGCTGAAAGCCAGGGTAGACTACCTGGACATTCCTGACTCTGCTGAAGGGATTATTCTGCCATCTTCTTGACAGCAGGTCTTTCTATGCTAATATTGAACTCATAAGTCCAGTCCTTCTGGTGGACGGGAAATCCTACCCGACCTTGTCACTGTTCCATTGACAACTTGCTGTGATGGTTCTGGAAGGACTGTAAGATGAGCTCTGTTCCTTCTCAGTGTTCCCATCTCAGTTTCTACCTGATGCTTCTCCCTGGACGTTCCAGTGGTCTTCGATGTCCTGATCCACACTTTCTGTCCAAGCATGATGACTGGTAGATCTTTCGCTCCGTGTCTAGATCTGAGTGTGACTTCTTGTTTTTCTTTCAGTCTTCTGTCTTTCCTCCTGAACGTTTTCAAATCAGGCCATTTCGGTGCAAGAGATTTCTGTGTAGCTGGAACTGTTGATCTTATCCTCCTCCCCATCAAGAGTTCTGCTGGTGAGATTCCATGGCTCAGTGGAGTCGATCTGTATGCCATAACAGCTCTCTGAGGGTCTTGATTCTTTCTCAGCATTTGTTTCATTGTTCGCACCGCTCGCTCTGCCTCTCCGTTGCTCTGAGGGTACTGAGGACTGCTTGTGATGTGGTCAAAGTCATAGTCTCGAGCAAACTCGGCAAACTCACAAGACGCAAACTGTGGACCGTTATCGGTCACCAACCTTTCCACTGTTGTTGCTGTTTTGAGTTTTGGCAGGTTCACAACCAGTGACCAGTTGTTTCCCTGGGATGTGCACGATGTTGTACTTGAATCTGAGCAGCCTCAGTCTGAACCGAAGAATTCTTGGAGGTAAGTCATCAAGTGGTCTATTGCCCAACAGAGATATTAGGGGTTTGTGGTCGGTATGTACCGTAAATTCCAATCCGAGTAGATATGCACTGAGTCGCTAACATGCCCAAATACCACAAGAGCTTCTTTTTCAATTTGTGCATATCGTGTCTCTGTGGGAGTTAGACTTCTTGAGATGTATACGACAGGCCTCCACTCGGCATTTTTCGGTTTCTGCATGAGCACCCCACCAAGACCATAGGATGAAGCATCGGCTGAAACTACAGTCTCGCTATTTGGACTACACTGTGCCAGTATAGTTGGTGAGCCGAGTTCTTTTTTTACTTTTTCGAATGCTTCTTTCTGCTGTGCATCCCATGTCCAGGTGCTATCATTCCTTAAAAGGTCTATCAGTGGTTTTGTGAGAGTTGGCAGATAAGGTGAAAACTTCCCTTTTTTTCAAAAAACCGTCTCACTCCTTCCACGTTTTGTGGCTCAGGCATGTTGAGAATAGCTTTGATCTTGTCCTCGTCTGCTTCGATCCCTTGGGCACTTATTGTATGGCCTAGGAATTTCACTCTCTCGACAAACACACACTTGTCATTTAGCATAAGTCCAGCTTTTTCAAACTTTTTCAGTATCTCACACAATCTCTCATTGTGTTCTTTCTCGTCTTTTCCAAACACTAGGATATCGTGTGCATGGTAAAGAGCTCCAGTCGTTCCCGCAATTATCTGTGAGATTCTGAGCTGGAAATGCTCTGGGGCTGAAGATATCCCAAAAGGAAGACGCCGGAAGCAGTATCTCCCAAAGGGTGTGATGAAAGTTGTATGTGGCTCGGAGTCTTTGTGCAAAGGTATTTGCCAGAACCCAGATGTGGCGTCTAGTTTCGAAAACACAGCTGCTCCCTCTAGCTGCGCTAAAGTATCATCCATAGCCGTCAGTATGTGTCTCTCTCTACACACACATTCTCATTCAATCTAGCGAGATCGACGCAAATCCTGATGTTGCCATTAGGTTTTGGCACGACGACCATTCCTGCACACCAGGCAGTAAGCTCTTCGATTCATCAGATGACTCCCATTTCTTCCATCCTATGAAGTTCCAGTTTTACTTTCTCCACAAGTGGCAGGGGTACGCGTCGTCGGGCTGATAGTGCAAACGGAACAGCTCCTTCTGTCAGTTTAATCTTGTAGCTGCCCTCTGAGTCCTGAGAAGACTTTGGGGAACATCACTTTGTACTGCTCTCCAGGTTCATGTAAGTGGGCTACCTGCTGCAGTAACTGTAATCCTCGGATTGCTGGCAGTCCCAGGAAAGGCATCACTAAATCCATGGCAACATATATATCCTGCCGGATTCTCTTTTTGGACTTTTTCAGACATGCGCTGAATGTTCCCATCACTTTCAAAGGAGTACTGTTAGGGCCTAAGATCGTCTTTTTGGAGTCTTTAAGTTGGCCCTGTTTGTCTGCCGAATACATAGATGCTGGAATCGCCGTAACTGCAGCACCTGTATCGATTTTAAAGGTGATTGGTTCTTTATACACCAGGATTTTCTGTTGCCACATATTCTCCTGTTTTTGGGTCTGGATCATCCCCAAGAAAGCAGACTCGTATGAGGTGTCAACTATCGCTTCCATTCGTTGAGCTGACCGGCATACTGCAGCAAAATGTCCTTTCTTTCTGCACTCTGATTCTCTGGCTGGACATGTTTTCCATGGGTGCTGTGGACATTTCCAGCATCTCTTACAGGTATCCATCTGTTTTATTTTCTGAGCTGCATTATAAGTACTTTCGCTCTCCGTGATGTCATCTTTGCGTTAGACGTTCTCTTTGTCATGATTGCATCGACATTCACTTCTTTTGCTTCACACTTTTCTCATCTTATTATTGGCTGCTGAAGTTTTATTCTTCATTTTGTCTGACCTGAGTTATTGTTTTGTCCAATGTCAAATTCGGATCTAGTTGCAGTTTCTCCGAGAGCTTTGCATCTCTTATGCCCTCTACAATACGGTCTCTGATCATTTCCTCATGGAGATCACCATAACTGCAGTGTTCTGCAAGCTTGTACACATCTGTGATGAAGCTCTCTGCTGATTCACCAGGTTGTTGGAATCTGCTAATGAATTTTGCTCTCTCGTATATGACATTATGTCTGCCAATGAAGTGCTCACTTAAAGCCTTCTTGACTTCATCATAACTTTTTTTTTTCTTCCTCACTTAGGGGTAACGTATTTAAAATATTGTCGCTTTTCTCCCCCATAATGTAAAGAAGCGAGTTTACCTGGTAAGCGGAGTCTTTTTCTGCAAGGCCCGATGCTACTCTGAATCGCTCAAAGCGGCGCATCCACTGTGGCCAAGAGCTAGGCTCGTCGAAATTGAAACTTCCTGGGGGTGTCAGCGAAAATATCTGATCCATTTTCAGTGTTCACTCTCTTTTAATCCCAGGTGTACTGCTCCGCTATTCCTTTCCTTTTCTTTTTACAGATCAGTTCTCAATCGCACTTTGATCCATATCAATTTACTCATTTCTAGCAGTCTTTATGCAGCATCACTCTTTTTTTTCACTCACTTCTTTGCTGTCTTTCTTTGCAGGTTGTCAAAACCACTTCTGACTATGTAACAGATTGTTATTTCTTAAACTCAAGATGAGACGAGACATCAGCACACGCAAACAGCTCAGTTAAGCCCGGCTCACACTGTGCGCAGTCACTGAACGTGTATGGGTTGATAATGTAAAACAAGACTTCTTGCGCGCACCCGTTTTTAACGCGTCTTGACTGTCGTACAGTCTGATATTAATGACAGCTGAGACCCCACAGTGTGACATGATCATCATGTTCGTACAGTCTGACAAGTACAATCCTAAAGGACTTAAAAAATATATATATATTTTTAAAATCACACAGTGAGATTTAAAAACAAAGACTTTTGACAAAATCGCACAAGTCTCGGCTTTACTTAACATCCATATATTTTTATTTTCCGCTGTACACGTTTATCTATCTCCTTAACTGAACTGGAGCGCCCTCTAGTGTCTAGGTGGGTCCCACTACACTGACTAAAATTTAATGACTTCCAAAACGAATGTGCAGATGATTGTAGAAATTACTCCTTTTTCAAAACCTCGTCACACTGAAGAAAACGGCTATTTCTTCCCAGAGTGAGTTTTCAAATGGCGTTTCATGCTGCTTGGACATGTGAATCTCTTCTCACACTGAGGACATTTGTAAGGCTTCTCTCCAGTGTGAACTACCTTGTGAATCTTAAGGTATTCTTTAACCCTGAAACACTTTCCACATTGTTCGCAGGTGAAAGGTTTCTCTCCAGTGTGAACTCTAATGTGAACCTTGAGTTTGTCTTCTTTTGAGCAACTCTTTCCACAGTGATGGCACATGAGAGACTTTTCTCCGATGTGAATTTTAACGTGATCCTGAAGGTGATTCGTGTCTGTGAAACTCCTTTCGCACTGATGACATTTAAAACTCTTCTCTCTTGAGTGAATACTGATGTGATAATTAAGGTTTTCTTTATATCTGAAACTCTTTCCACACTGAGCACATATGAATGGCTTCTCTCCAGTGTGACTTCTTATGTGAGTCTTTAGGCTTTCTTTGAGCCTGAAACTCTTTCCACACTGAGGGCAGGTGAATGGCTTCTCTCCAGTGTGAACTCTCATGTGGGCATCAAGGGTTCTTTTCTGTGTAAAACACTTTCCACACTGAGAGCATATTAATGGCTTCTTTTCAGTGTGAACTCTCATGTGAGTCGTAAGTCCTCCATTTCGTGAGAAACTCTTCCCACACTGAGGGCAGGTGTAAGGTCTCTCTCCAGTGTGAATACTCATGTGGGCTTTAAGGTGACTTTTCAGTATAAAACTCTTTCCACACTGTTCACAGGTGTAAGGTCTCACTTCAGTGTGAATTCTCATGTGTGTCCTAAGGTTTTTTTTCCGTGTAAAACATTTTCCACACCGAGGGCATATTAACGGTTTATTTTCAGTGTGAATTTTCATGTGGACTTTAAGGCTTTCTTTTTGATTGAAAATCTCTCCACACTGTTGGCAGGTGAAAGAGCTCTCTCCAGTGTGAATTCTCATTTGGGAATGAAGGTTTTGTGTTTTTTCAGCTTTTTTTGGTGAGGAGGTCTTTTCATTCTGTGAGCAACTAATCGATTCCTCTTCAGTTTTGAAATCATTATGTTTTTCGTTTTGATCTTTCTCTTCCGTTTCATTCAGTTCTTGACTCTCCTGTTTCAGCGCCATCGGGTCTGAGGTGAAAATTGACAAATACAAGTTAACACCAGTTTAAAAGCATGAAGCAACAAACATCAAAACATTTAGACATGAAAAGCATCAAATCCAAGCTAGATCCTATACCTACTAAACTTCTGAAAGAGTTGTAACCTGTAATCTCAGAACTTCTTGTCGATATTGTTAATCCTTTGCTTTCTTTAGGACCTCCACTCATCTAGATCTTGATGGAGGGATGTACCATTACATTGTTTTCCACAATTACGTATCTGGTTGTTGCATTCACAAATTGTTTTGTTGATAATCATGGCCTTCTTTCACCTTTTAAATGTTGCAGGATCAAGAAATAAGCTCTAGCTGGTTGAATAGAGCACTTACTAGTCACACTGACCACTAGCTGTGTTTCGCATTTCCATCAAATCACGCAAACTGAAATTGTGAATTGAAAATGCACCCAATGGAAACCTGTCAATTTCCAATTTCGCCCATATATCACAAAACATTTTTACACTTGCATGGCTGTGATGTACGTAAACCTACCAACATCCATCAGCATGACTTATTGCAAGGTGAAAAATTATGTTTTAGTCTCATAAAAAAATGCTGTTGATGGAAATGCTGTCATTTTGCAATAGTTTTTTTAATCGACATTAATAAAATATTGCAGAAGTTTTGTACATCTGTAATCAAAAAGCAATGTCTGCATCATTTTAGTCTGGAGGATTGACTGCACTGGGAATAAACGGTTACTGGCCACAGCATTTGCTAAATTCAATCTGAAACGAAAGAGATTTCATCAGTGCCAGTCCTCCCTATGCGCAAATTATGAAAGTTGCATATGGCCCTCGAACCACCAAGGGGCCCCACTGCAGCTGAGCAATTCAAATATTTTTTTTTCCCCCAATGATTATAAAAACACCTTGCTTGATTCTGTTCCTGTCATTTAAAGCGGCCTTTGGCATTTTTCCTTGATAGGACAGTGGGAATACGACAGGAAGTGAGTAAGAGCTCGGCAGAGAACTTAATGGCCCGGTTTGACAGACGGGGCTTAGCTTAAGCTAGAAATGGAGCGTAGCGATAGTTCTGGCAGGCCATGTTAGTCAAGCTCGCATCAGCTGACACTCAGCTGACCCACGTCTACCTATAGGATCATGACACCAATCATAATTCCCTTCATAAGGTCCCTTCAGTAATTATTCAGCAGCTATCGCTTCGCTCAGGAACTAATCAGACGGCGAATTCCATCTCCATAGGAAGCTTTTAATCTGGATTTTTGACAGGATTCCCACAGAGTATCTCACCAGATTCAAGTTGTGAGCTTAAGCGAATTCGCCGGGTTGTTTGTCAAGACGATTCTCCAGTATGAATTCTCATTTGGGAATGAAGGTTTTGTGTTTTTTCAGCTTTTTTTGGTGAGGAAGTATTTTCATTCTGCGAGCAACTAATTGTTTTTTCTTCAGTTTTGAAATCATTATGTTTTTCGTTTTGATCTTTCTCTTCCGTTTCATTCAGTTCTTGACTCTCCTGTTTCAGCGCCATCGGGTCTGAGGTGAAAATTGACAAATACAAGTTAACACCAGTTTAAAAGCATGAAGCAACAAACATCAAAACATTTAGACATGAAAAGCATCAAATCCAAGCTAGATCCTATACCTACTAAACTTCTGAAAGAGTTGTAACCTGTAATCTCAGAACTTCTTGTCGATATTGTTAATCCTTTGCTTTCTTTAGGACCTCCACTCATCTAGATCTTGATGGAGGGATGTACCATTACATTGTTTTCCACAATTACGTATCTGGTTGTTGCATTCACAAATTGTTTTGTTGATAATCATGGCCTTCTTTCACCTTTTAAATGTTGCAGGATCAACAAATAAGCTCTAGTTGGTTGAATAGAGCACTTACTAGTCACACTGACCACTGTCTGCATTTCCATTACCCTTCAAATCACGCAAACTGAAATTGTGAATTGAAAATGCACCCAATGGAAACCTGTCAATTTCGCAAAACTCCCATATATCACAAAAAAAGTGTATACGTTTGCATGAGGCGTTTTTTAGGCAATTCGAAAAAGGAATAATTCGCAAAACTGCAATGGAAACAGATTTTTCACATTTACAGGTCATCTGGCGTACGTAAAAGTCACATGATCATTCTTTAATGTACTATAATAGGGTGACCATACGTCCTCTTTGCCCCAGACATGTCCTCTTTTTGGACTTTAAAAATCCCGGCCGGATGCATTTTTTTTAAATTGCCCAAAATGTCCAGGATTCGGCTTTTACTTTCTATAGTCACCCTAACTATAACCTCCAAGAAACACCTCATACATGGCTGCTCTCAAGTATAAGGGGCTGTCCTTGCCAGTAATGCTTGGACGGACTGCGCTGCTTTGCTAAACATATACGCCTACTTTCATTCAATTAACAATAATGGCTAGTGCAGTGGCTGTGATGTACGTAAACCTACCAACATCCATCAGCATGACTTATTGCAAGATGAAAAACAAAAAAAAATGTTTTAGTGGCATAAAAACTGGTCATGGAAATGCTGTCATTTCGTAATCGTTTTTTTATCGACATTTAGTATACAATATTGCAAAAGTTTTTGCAAATCTGTAATGGGAACGCAGCGAGTTTCTGCATCATCTTAGTCTGGAGGACTGACTGCACTGCAGAATCTTCTACTTCACCTGCTGAATTCACTATGGCAACAATCTGCAAGATCTGCGCTGCACCAATCGAGCCGCCGGATCAACACGACCACTGCATCGCCTGCCTGGGCCTGGCCCACGCCATGGCGGCGCTGGAACAGGGTCTGCGCCCCAATCAGCACGTGTCCACTCTGCTACACAGGCCATTTTTTCCCACGTGGATGGGGCGAAGGCCCACGGGTACGTGCACTATCCCCCCGTCGAGGAGACCGTCGCTGCGCACCTGTGTCCTGCAGCAGCCAAGACCCTAGGCTCGGACATCAGCCTCCCCTCGAAGCCGTGCAGGACCACCGCCCACCTCGCCAATAAAGCATATGTGTCTGATGGCGAGGCGGCTTCCGCGCTGCACGCCATGGCGGTGCTGCAGGTTTTTCAGGCGAAGCTCCACCTATCAGCTGCGAGCCCGCCTACAAGCATCGCTATTGGTTGTGGGAATTGTGTGTTCTATCTTCGCTGAGTATGTGACTGGTTCAGGCTGCTCGTAGCCTCTCTCACAGCGGGATTGAATATCGTTCCCATAACGGAGAAATGTCTCCGTGATGTCTCGTGAAAGCTCGAGAGGGAACGTCTCCATGGCGGTGCTGCAGGTTTTTCAGGCGAAGCTCCACCTATCAGCTGCGAGCCCGCCTACAAGCATCGCTATTGGTTGTGGGAATTGTGTGTTCTATCTTCGCTGAGTATGTGACTGGTTCAGGCTGCTCGTAGCCTCTCTCACGGCGGGATTGAATATCGTTCCCATAACGGAGAAATGTGTTCGTGATGTCTCGTGAAAGCTCGAGAGGGAACGTCTCCGGTTACTATAGTAACCTCGGTTCCCTGAGAGCTGGAACTAGACATCACGGAGGTCGCCGTGTTCGCTGCTCGACCAGCTATGCGGCGTTCAGTATCAGATTCTGACGTAATTGTCGCATGCACCGCATTTTATACTGCCTCTCGAGCGCGTCAGTATTAGCATGCGATTTGCATACTTCGTGACAACTGGCCAGTCATTTGTTCTGGCGTTAGCCAATAGAACTTAAAGAAAGATTGGAAGGGAAGGAGTTCCCTTGCCCCACTGCAACTGTGCAATTAAAAGAATCTTCGTTTTTTTTTTTTTTTTCAATGATTATAAAAACACCTTGCTTGATTCTGTTCCTGTCATTTAAAGCAGATTTTTGCATTTTTCCTTGATAGGACAGTTGAAATACGACAGGAAGTGAGTGGGAGCTCGGAAGGGAACTTAATATGTCTGTTCTGTCTGTATCGTCTCAGTGAGCTGTTTGAGGCTTTACGCATGCACAGTAAAGCGAATTTAACGTTTTCTGATGTTTCAGTGTGGATGAGAAACTTTTGGAGAATGCTTGAAAAGGTTAGTGTGGATGGAGAGCATTTAAAATGGAAACACTGTTCATGTGTATCTGGATTAATGTAGATGTAGACTTAGTGTCCACTGGCTGTTTTATTTGCTCACCAAATACCTTTAAATGAACAGATGTAGACAGCATGCAGTAGCCAAATGTGATCACTCTCATTTCTAGGTTTGCATAATTAAGTGCTAGAAATTAATGGTATATTTTAGAAGCAGATATTAGGATTAATGTTACAGAAAAAAATATATATATAGTTTTTGTTTAGGCTAATTCTGTATTATTGGCACAACTCAAATGCATGATGTTATAATAACAAATGTCCAATGTGAAAGCAGGATCTTCTTATTTGTCTGGTCATGTTATTTTTTTTATTCTGTGCAACTACAGGAGTTGGGTCTCCTCAGTCCAAACAATGTGGTCTTGAACAGAAAAAAGCAGAGGAATTAATAATAATATTAATAATAATTTGTCGTGGGTTCAATTCCCAGGGAACACACATACTGGTAACAAAAAAAAAATGTATAGCCTGAATGCACTGTAAGTCGCTTTGGATAAAAGCGGCTGCTAAATGCTTAAATGTAAATGTAAATGTAAATTTCATATAATGAACTGTAGGTAACAGGTAGGACAGCCCCACTATTTAATTCCCATAAGGCATCTGCTAAAAAGACCAAGAAGAAAGCTGTTAGTTTTGATGAGCTCCACTGAAACAGTTTAAACTGTTGCTAAACTGTAAATGAACTTATATAGGTTAAGCCGAGTTATAATGTCTGTATTTGAGCTATTTGACAAAATCTAGCACAAAACCAGATCTGTGTAGATCTGTAAACCAAACTAGGGCTGTTTACAACCACACCGCGGTGGCAGGACATCACTGGCAGTGGTATACAAATAATAATAATAAGTGAAGTAAATAAAGTAAACAAAAATTGCACACTATTTTTTTTTACAA